AGACTCTGGGTTCCTGGCTTCGAATTGGAACACTCTGGCCTTTGCAGCCTCTTGGGGAGTGAACCAGCAATAGAAGACCTTTCTCTCTGTCTGTTTTCCTTTCTGTATGTCTGACTTTTCAGTAAAAATAAACAAATCTTAAAAAAAAAAAAAAACTTGGTTGCTGTGGGCATCTGGGGACAGAACCAGTAAATGGAAGACATCACTCTGTCTTTCCCTGTCTGTAGTTGTGCCTTTCAAATAATTAATGAGAGAGAGAGAGAGAGAGAGAGAGGAAGCAATGCAAAGTGGTATCTCCCAATTTGGAGGCCAGAAGTCTGAAATCAAGCTGTTGGCAGGGCTGTGCTCCCTCTGAAGTGCCAGGGAACGCTGTGCCCCACACTTCTCTGCCAGCTTTTCCAGCTCCTCAGCTTGTGGCAAAACTCCAGTCTTCATGTGGCATTCTCCCTGGGCAGGTGTCTGTCTCTAAACTGTCCTCCTTTATAAGGATAGTACTAGGGTTAGTTTAGGCCCATCCTATTCTAGAGTGAGCATCTGTGAATTAATCACACCCGTAACAGCCTCATCCGATAAGGCCACATGTTGAGATACTGAGGGCTAGGGTGGCAATGCATGGATTTTAGGGGACACAGTTCAATTCATCATTTCAGCTCCATAACAGAAGAATCCAGCGATTTGGGGCAGACCCTCGGTGATCTGACCAACACTTCAGGGCAGGGCTTAGCTTTCTATTCTGTCTCCTTCCCCATGACTGAGCTCAGCATGGAATAAATGAGTGGGTACTTGTTGATGGTTGATTAATGCTACATTTTACACTCAGATTTTAAAATGTGTGTGTTATCCATATTGAGGTAGTTTGGGATTTGTTTGTGTGCCAGCAACAGATCTCATGCTTAGCAGATAGGAAAACTTACATGGTTTTAGGGTCTGATATGATTAGTAACTGCTCCAAGAGACCATGTGGAATAAATACAGCTAGCATCTAACGTAGCGCCAGCCCCCTTTGTCTCGCAGGCTTGGTCCCACAAGTGCTGAGCTGTTTCGCTCAGGCAAGGTCAGCAGAGGTCACGTTTGTTCAAGATTCTGGAAGCGAGTCTAGTGAAAGTGCAGCCTGGGGAAGGCATCCATCGTGGCCTTAAGGCAGCGAGCCCCTGCCCAGCCTGGGGATACACAGCTGCCCAGCCAATCTCAGAGGGGCAAACTCCTGGACTTCAGAGACACAGCCCAGGGCCACTAAACAGAAACCTGGCCAGTGAGGAAGCAGCTGTTCTTGGCAAACAAAAAAACGATGCCCTAGGCAAAAACATAGCAAGAGGGAGCCAGGAAAAGCTTCGTTCTGAGGAGCCACTCCCCCTCTAAACTAATTTTTTCAACCAAATACAAAATGGTAAGCCTGTTCCAGAACAAACGATATGGTAGATTCTTTTGCTCTAAATTCTCTGTAATTAGAAATTCCTAGAAAGTCTTCTCTGGTCAAAATACTCAGCAATTTTCTCCAAAAAGTATACTCCATATTGTGGTTAGTTACTTAACTGTTTGTTTGTTTGTTTGTTCATTAATGTAGCACAGGCAGTAAGATGCTGTGTAAGTGTAGGAAGAGCTGCAATACACCAAATTGTATTTTAGGTCCTGTTGATTGTTTCTCTATCTTTTTATCTCATAAACTATTAATGACAAGCTACTTTCCATTGTTGAAAACTATATTGATGTTTATACGTGCAGAAACAGCAATGTCTAATGAAACACATGTTTGATGCCTTTGCTAGGTTCCCAGTGTGCATAAGAACTGGTGAACCTGAAATTCAGGGCGCATCCTGTTTTTCTGTTAAGAGCAGTAACTGCAGACACAGGGGTACTTTAAAATGATTCTGGGGGAAAAAATGGAATCAAAAGCAAGTTTATTTGGGAACAAGATTAAATTTGAAACACATGCAAAAAACTTGAAAATTTGTTTTAAATGGTATTTTCAATCACATTTTCCATGAACTTTCTGAATATCCTTCATATAACTGGAATGAGGTTAAGTGAAATTTCCAAAGGGCCATTCGTAGCTAGGTTAGAGGACCTAAACTACAGATTTTGACATTCCTATTAATGAAAAATATTGAATTACAATCAAAAATTGTATATTTACTATGTAATGGAGCTTTGCGCCAACCTTTTCTCAAATCTTTCAATTTCATCAAGGAAATATAGCTTAGAAATACTATGTAGCTTGCTGATCATCAAAGCCAGTACTAGAAAGCATTTGGAATCAAATTCTAGTTGTTCAAACTCTAAACCCTATGCCTACTTGAATTCAACTACATAGATAAAAGAGGGAAGGTAATGAAAACATTAATGATTACAAGCCAGAAAAAAAAAAAAAACCACCAGTGCATCCTTCCAGATAAATAATTCATTAACATAACTGCTGTGAAAAAAAAAAGGCAAATTCCAAAGGCTAAACTGAGGCATCGAATGACTTAGTAACAATGAACTTCCTTTGAAACCCAATTGTGTATATATGAAATATCAATTTGGACTATTTTGAAGGTAAAAGCACTGGAGACTTATAATGATAAAAATTATACGATAACCTTTTATGCAACAGGCTTATTGAACTGAACATTACGTTCGCGATGCTATTCTAAAAAGAACTCGTCATGCTGGGCTAAATTTTCCAAGAATGCAATTTAAGCCCACAGTAAGGTGTATTATAAAATGAATGGAATACTGTGGTTCAAACACAGCCCTCCGAATGGTCCATCTGTGGACCTTATCTCGCCGATTCTCATTAAACCGTGATTTCATTTCTCCACACCATCAGAAGCTCACTCCTGGGCAGTCGTTCAGCTGCCCGGCAAGTCTCACAGCACATGCAAATATGAATTAAAGGCGGCCACCCCACAAGAGGAAGTGTGAAGCACAGGCCCAGCCATCACAGATGGGAAAAAGAAATTGGTGGTCCCAGCAGGCCTCCTGTTTATTACCCCCCCGAGGCCTCATTTGGAGCACGGCAGTCACGCACATGCATGCAGGTGCACACTACCACAGGCACATGCACGCGCGGATGGAAAACACGTCCCCACCCTCCACATCCCAACCACTCCTAAGGTTAAAGATTTGCAAGAGGATAAAATCCTGAAGCCTTTGCAGGACCTTGTCACCGCTCACATTGCTCTCCCAGGCAGGCTTGTTACAGAAGGTATGTTAGCCTCCTCCTCCGTGTGGGGAAATTGGAAGGTGAAATGTCACCATTTGTCCAAAGCTAGAAGGAAAATCAAAGACAGAAGGCAGAGGGAGGATTTACCTGTTCTCTGGCCTCCTATAATATGTGCTGTGTACATTTCTAATGTCCCCCATTGGTTTCCACAATACAGTCAAGTTATTTGTGAATTTGTCTTTTTTCCCATATGTGACAGGGTGGGGGACAATTTGAATGCATAGATTCAAACATTTTCCCATGGGAGCTGACGTTGTGGCACAGTAGATTAATATGCAACCCACAATGGCAGCATCCATATCGGCATCGGTTTGAGTCTGGGCTGCACCAATTCTGACACAGCTCCGTGCAAATGACCATGAGAAAGCAACATAAAATGTTCCAAATCTTTGTCCCGTTGTACCCACTTGGGAGACCTGGATGGAATTCTAGGCTCCTGACTTCAGACTAGCTCAGCCTATGCCATTGCAACCATTCCTTATTAAAAGTCTGGATGGAAATATCAACTTCCAAGCATCTATGTCTTTGGCCTTCTAGCCAGCCAAGCCATGGATGACTACAGCCAGTGCCACCGTGACAGGGAGCAGAAGCCCTTCCTAGAGGAGCCCAGGAAGCCCACAGAGTTACAATAAAAAGGCAGTTGTTTTTCAGCCACATGGTAACAGACAAGCAGAACTTTGATCCTGATGCTGAAATGAGATGAAATTTAGGGAGAAGGAAAAGGCTGTGGGGGAAGAGGTGAGTGGCAGTCCTTGTGCAGAAGGAATCATTGTTACTGGAAGTACAATACAAAAACCAAGGTAACTGTCCAAGATGCCCCCCTAATGAATCCCAACTGTGATTAGTCATGACCTTACATAGTCCCCTTTCACAGAAAACATGTGACCAATAGAATGTGACAGAAATGTGACTTCCAAAATTACATCAGAAGCAATCTTAGGCATTTTGCAAATTTTGCTGTGGAAGAAGCCATCCAGTGTGAGACAAGCTAAACTCCTCTGTGAAGCAAGTTAAGGAAAGGCCCAAGGTGGGCTGGGGAAGGGAAGGGTGTACTGAAACAGCTCTCAGACAACATTCCAAACACAGGACTGAAGAAGCCATTAGGCTTCTTTCCCATCTAAGAAACTCAAGCAAGAATCCTTCAACCAAGACCAGACAATCCAAAGAACTTGGGGAGATGATATTAAATTATTTTTACCTCCAAAGTTTTGGATTGGTTTATTATTTTATAATGGGCACTTACATTTCACTCTCCAATAAACAAAATTAGCTTTTCTTTGGGGAAATGGTTCATTCTGAAATTTTGACAGGGAAATAAAATATTAGCCCAAAATATCTTATAATGTCAGAAAGTAAGGAAGTGCTTAACATACATACTGATGATGATGAGATGAATGTCAAAGCAATGCAGAAGCATCCCAATGGGTAGAGTTTTTTTGAAAAAATAAAGAATGAAAATTAAGTAACTAAACATTTTTTTAAAAATAAGTAGAAGAAGACATTGAAAAATGGAGGAACTTACCATGTTCCTAGATTGGCAGGATCAACATCATCAAAATGTCCTTATTACTAAAGTAATATACAGATCCAATCCAATCACAATCAAAATTCCAACAGCATTCTTCTAAGAAATAGAAAAGAAGATACAAAAGTTCATCTGGAAATACAGAGACCACAAATAAGCAAAGCTATCCTGAAGAATAAAAATCAAGCTGGAGGAATCACAATTCCAGACCTCAAGACATACTACAGAGCAGTGGTCATCAAACACAGTCTGGTACTGGCACAGAAACAGAGCCAACTAATCTTTGACAAGAAAACTGAAAACAATCCAGGGAAAAAGCCTGATCTCTCCAATAAATGCTGCTGGGACAACAGGATAGCAGCTTGCAAAAGTAAGAAGCAAGACCCACACCTGTCACATTATGCAAAAATCAACTCAAAATGGATCAAGGAACTAAATCTACACCCAGAAACCATCAAACTATTAAATGAAAACATAGGAAGATATAGGAATGGGGAAAGACTTTTTGGAAAAGACACCAAAAGCACAGGCAATCAAGGACCAAATAAACAAATGGGACTACATCAAACTAAAAAGCTTCTGCATAGAAAAGTGAAGAAGTAACCAACAGAATGGGAGAAAATCTTTGCGCACTACACAGCTGATAGGGGACTAATATCCAGGATCTACAAAGAGCTTCAGAAACCCAGGGACAGTAAAAAAAAATATATATATGAAGAAATGGCCAAAGAAAATGAACATTTTTCACAAGAACAGATTCAAGTGGCTAATAGACATATGTAAAGATGCTCAGGTTCCCTAGCCATCAGGGAGATGCAAATGAAAACCACATTGAGGTCCCATCTAACTCCAGTGAGGTTGACCTAGATTCAGAACTCTACTAACAACACCTGCTGGTGTGGATGTGGGGAGAAATGTACCTTCCTTCACTGCTGATGGGAGTGTAGGTTAGTGCAACCACTATGGAAATCAGTAAAGAGAGTGCTTAGAGAATTGCAAATAAACCTGCCATATGACCCAGCTATCCCGCTGCTAGAAAAATACCAAAAGGAAATGAAAACCGCATATGAGAACAGGATTTGTAATCCTATATTTACAGCAGTACAATCTATAATAGCAGAAACATGGAAACAATCCAAATGCCAACCAAAGAGGAGTGGTTAAAGAAACTGTGATGTATCTACTCCATGGAATATTACTCAGCCATTAAAAAGAATGAAATTATACCATTTGCAACTAGATGGCCCCAAGTAGAGACCATTACGCTCAGTGAAATAAGTCAATCCCAAAAGGAAAAATGCCATACGTTCTGTCTGGTATAAGGCAGCCTTCATGCAAATTGTAAGGTAAATAACCCTTTCCATGCTGTTTTTACTACATCCCATGTGTTTTGATGTTTTTGTTTTCATTTTCATTTCTTCCAAATAGCTTTTTTTTTTCTCTTATTGAATTCATCACTGGGTCATCATTTTGGCCAAGAGGCTTTTGTGTTTTTTCTTCACTCATGCATTGGTTATTCAGTAGAGCATTTTTTCGATTCCATGGTGTTAAATATTTTGTTTTAACTTCATACCTGTTGTTGGCTTTGTTTCGTGACTTCTCATTTAAGGGAATATATAGTGATAGTGTAATAGAGAGTATCATATTCAGATATGAAGATACAGTGCAATATGCGTCCCTACTTCCAAAGCAAAGATGGACTCTCAATGAAACTTTTGGACATATCTAGACAATGGGATGCTGGACTGTCTGACATTGTCTGTACCAGCAATGTCGGGGCACACTTAAATAATAAACTGAAGGACCGACCTATGACTGCTTACTAAGAACTATGCCTCTGTAATATTATAGGGAAAATCAGTCAGGTGTGGAAATTTTGAAGGGGCATCCTAGACCTTATAGAATTGTACCATAAAATTCAAAATAAATAAATATATAAATACATAAGTAACACAGGACATACATTTGGTGTAGTCGCTAATCCACAAGTTGGGACACCAACAATTTCCATCAGCATATCTAGATTCAAGATCCGACTCCACTCACAACTCCAGCCTTACACTGATGTGAACCCTGGGTAGTACCAGCGATGGATCAAGTAATTGAATGCACATTATCCATGCAGGAGACCAGGACTGAGTTTCAAGTTTCCAGCTTTGGCCAGGCCTACTCCTGGCCTTTGGGGGCATTTGTAGAATGAATCAGCAGATGAAGCTCTTTCTGTCTCTTCCTTCTTCTCTCTCCTTCCCCACCTCTCTCCCTCTTTCAAATGAATAAACAAATGTTACTAGTGTTAGTTCTAGCCCAAAGAATTCCAAAACAGCTAAATAAATATCCACAAGCACATACTGACATAAATAAATAATTAAATAAGTAAGCAAATGGGGGGAAAAGGGACAAACTTTTTCTCTCTCTTTTTTTTTTCAAAATTCATTTATTTTTACTTGAAAGGCAGACTTTACAGAGAGAAGGAGAGACACAAAGAGAGGTCTTCTATCTGCTGGTTAACTCACCAAATGTCCATAACAGCTGGAGCTGAGGCAATCAGAAGCTAGAAGCCAGGAGCTTCTTTGCGGGTCTCCCACATTGGTGCAGGAGCCCAAAGATTTGGGCTATCTATCCTCCACTGCCTTCTTAGGTCATTAGCAGGGAGCTGGATTGAAGTGGCACAGTAACTGGCAATCATATGGAATGCCAGCATCACAGGTGGCCATCACAACAGCCCAACGAATTTTTCTTAGAAAATAATTCCAAACAATAAAGGAAAAGGAATAAGAGAAATTGAAAACCACCTTTATTTGATTAATAATGAGATTTACTGATGAATATTAAAATTAGAAGGTGAGACATTAAGGAGAAGCAAGATATTTTCATAGTCTCAAATTATAGCCTCTAGAGTATTTATTAATTACTGTACTGGTTTTACCATAACTCATCAATATTCTTATATTCCTATATTCTTCAATCATTTCTTCAATATTCCTATATTCATTAATTACATACACCCATCATTTCTTCAGTACTCCTGTCTCCCGGGAGTAGAGGTTAGGTTTAGTGACTCATTTCTGAAATTCGAGTATGAAAAGGCAAAGTGGAGATTACACATAACACTCTCACCAAGGTCAAGGTCAATATCACCAGAATGCCGTCATATTGATTTCACATACTCCCTGATGTAAATCCTGAGAGGGCAATTCACTCCCAAAACTCCACAATCCCAATCTAGTCATAAGACAACATCATATTGCCCCAAATCAAGGGTCACTCTCCTAATAGTATCTGACTCACACTTGTCAAAAGACTAAGGACAACGACAAGGAAAGCCTGAGCAACTGTCATAGGTTAAAGAAGGTGTGGCAATTAAATATAGTGCAGGATCCTGAATTTCATCCCTAAACAGAAAAAGGACATTAGTGGAGAAACTGGGAAAACATAATAAAGTCTGTATCTTTATTTAAAAAACAAAAAACAAAAATCTTCCCATGTGTAAACAATAAAGCACAAACTCCCAAGCAGAGCACACACAACCCTTCTGAGTATGGCTTCAAAGCTTCTCGGCCCCTCTCTCTCCACCACACTCCCCACCCACTCCAAACCCAGTGAGGGTCCCAGAAGAAGCAAAGCCAGTCACATCTTCTTGTGTTTTCTCTTATCATTTTGCCTAGAAAGTCTCCTCTGTACTACACCACATGCCTATTCAGTTATTTGGTGATTACCTTCCCAAAGCTCAGTCCCAGAATTTCATCCTGAGATGAGTTTGTCCTGATTCTCTCCATATTCCGGTGATGAGCCTTGTCTTCCTCGTACTCCATTTCTCTGTTACTGCACACCAGGAATTCCTACTGTTAAGATTTACCACATTTTAATACATCTAAGTGACCTTGTCTTCCTCTTTTAGGTAGCAAGATTCTTGAGGGAAGTCCAATCATAATCATCCATTATAGTCTCAGAATTTAGCACTTGTTTCAAACATACTGAGGGAATTCATGGATGAACAAATGAGAGAATTATTGAATGAACAAGTAGTGAACAAAAAATAGCAGTAGGCATCTACTGGAAGAAATGGTCAGTGTGTGAATTCATCGTAGTTCTGATTGAAGAAAACTTGTGCTCCAAAGATGTCAAAATGCTTTGTAGGAACATGTATATCCGTGCTAAAACACTCCCTGACGCCAATAGACATGCCAGCCAAGAGTCAAGCTTTGCCACAACCATCCAGCTTCACAAGGACCCCGGCAAATGTGCTGTTCCTAGTCACGCTCACAGTTCATTTAAAACAGCCATACGTTGAGTCACACGCTGAGTCCTCTATTTATGCTGCCTTTATTTCAGTCAAATCTACACCTTTAGGTAACACATTTATCTAAGCTATTCAAATTAGCTAAATTGCTTCTCTGCACAATTTTTTAAAAATTTCACATGAATTTTGAGTTTTCATGAATGTTGTGTTCTTTTTCACAGTGTGATCATTTCAGTGAACACACAACCATACATAGTTCTGAAAGGTAGCAATTTCCACTCTCATTCTAATGCTGATGTAAGTGGCTTACACACACACACACACCTTAAGAAAAATAACGGAAGTTGTTTTTCTCAAGGAGTCCAAAGGACACAAGGGCAGTGATCCAAGGTTATCCAGGGTTCTTCAAGCATGAACATCATGAAGCATGGTTTGGATTATTGTTGGGTTTGACCATTATCAACAAATTTGTTGATGAAGTACATCTGCTGGGCATATGCAAAGGACTGTGCTAAACTTGTGTATGCACAAATATGTCGCATGCTGTTTCTACCATGAAAAGAGCAATCTAAGAAGGAGATCAACATCCCATTAAAACCATGACAGACATTATTTTTAAAAATATGATTGGAGCTCAATCCAAAGATCTCTGTCTCTCCTTCTCAGAATCAGCTGGACAACTAAATTTCAGTTCTTGTCTTGACAGAGTGCAAACAACATAAATTCCAACAGTCCTTGTCTCTAACCAAAGCTCAGAAACAATCATGTGTCCTCCAGTCTTGGTCTATCGATCAAAGAAGAGCTGAAAGAACATTTTTGGGTCTTTCCTTTTGCCTTGGAAACAACAGAATTTCCTTTAACTGGCTAATTTTGTCTAAGAATGTAATCAGAAGAAGAATACTTAATTTTTACTCAACTATCTTCTCTAACTTAATAAGAAAAGCTTAATAAAACATTCATCCAGTTGGGTCCATCTGATTGACCATTAACTCATGAAATTTCATGATCACTTTTTGAATCTTCAATATTATTATGACATTGACATGTGCCTCTTCCAAATAGTGCATTTGATTCCTTTTTATCTTGGTCCCCAAGTTCCAATAGTCACAAAGAGGATTTTCAAAAACTCTTCAACATTGA